CTTTTGAGGGATGTCCTCACCCGTGGTTTGGTTGCACTCCGTGCTGTTGATCCGCGATCAGATCCAGCGGGTCTTCACGAGAAAGAAGATTTTAGGGAGTGCAAGATTTCTTTCGTTCGTGGATGATTGCATCCTTTGTTCCCGCGGCCGCAAGGGCCCTTGAGCGCGCACACGCATGCCGGCGCGTGAGAAACAGTGTGAACCCTGGACCCCCTTTGTTTGTAAGCCTTGTGAACCAGGCTCCTTGGTTGATAACCTAGAAGGTGCGAAGCCCTCTGTTTGCACCTGCTTCACTAGGCGTTTGCGAGCCCTCATCCATTTGATTTCAACGCCGAATTCAGCTCAGGTTTGGATGCAGCGACTGCACTTGCCACGCAGCTGGATGCAAGAGGAGGTGCACAGAAGGGGGGAGGCTCGCGATTGCAAAGATCTTTGGGTTCTTTAGTTTGGGAGATTTCACAAGTCAAGCCAACCCTTTAGGGGAAGTTATGAGCCGGCCTCTAGCCTCGTGATCCCAGAACATTTTAGCGAACGACCCTCGCTCCAGCCTTGCACGACAGGCACTTGAGGCTTTAGGACCTATTTGCTAAGAATTGCTCACTTGCTTCACGATGTTCAGGAGCCAGCCAGTGCGCCCTTGCCACTGCCAGTGGTCACCATACCACGCTATGAAGAGCGCAGATGGCTTTTCAGGCAATTAGCTGATAGCTTTGACGGAAACACGCTGAGGTGAAGAGCGCGAGCATGGAGCATTGCGCACTGGCATGTTCCAAAGCGCTTGAGGCCAGCAGAGGCCTCGCTTTGGGCTTGGCAACGTATGGGCTCCTGTTTGGGTCGTGGGCGAGAAATCTCGTTGCTTTATGAGGCTTGGATGTTGTGGTCCAGGATGCTTAAGGGCTCATTTGATGGCGTAGCTTTGTTCTTTTTGTGTGTATGGTTGGTGGATAGCGTCGTGAAGGAAGTGCAGACTCCAAACAGATGGCACAAGTGGCATTGGGCGGCCCTTTGTGTTCCTCAGATGCAAAAGTGGCAAGTCAGATGGTCACCCTTGGCCGCCTCAACTTCGGGTTGCGCTTTGTTGAGTTTGCCTTCATTGCTGCGCTCGCCAAGGTGCTCTTCATGTGTGTAGCTGGTGTGGCCATTGCAGTGATTTGGCAAAAATCCGCTCGCGGATGATGTCAACATGTTTTGTTGTTTGATGTTATTTTTACCTGAAAACGCGAACGGAAAGGTCATTGGCTCCGAGCTCTTTGATGTACAGTCTCCGTGCTGATTGCCCAAGGCATATTATCAGCAACGTTCAACCAGCTAAGTTGATTTGGACCACTGGGTCCAATCATTTTCGCAAGCTATCGGCAGATCATTAAACTTTGAGCAGACTCTAGGCAAATGGTGCACAGCTTATCACAGCAGCATTTTTAGCAGATGCTACCTTGGCAGACTGCTTTGCCTAGGCTTTGCCAGGGGAACCGATCGCCTTTGATGAGTATGGGGCCTAAGCTGAGTTTGGAAGTGAGCACGTGGAGAACACGAGCTTCGCTTTCTCATATTACCAGAAGCCCGCAGCTGGTTTAGTTCCTTCATCAGAATAACTGGTTGGCCTGACAGGCGAGGTCAGCCGATCATCCTCAGATCTGTTGGTGGCCAAGCGGATCCGGTTGTGGCAGTTGGCTGCAAGCCTGAGCATCAAGCACCGCGCCTGTTGCACAACACAAACGTCAAATGGTGCGATATCCGATGGCCGGTTTTCTGTCTTCATCCAGCCACCGGGCAAATTGCTAAGCGCGGATCGAGGTCGATGCACAATCTGGTCAGACGTTTGAACCTAAGCAGTGGTCCAGCACAGAAGAATAAGTGAATAACTCATTGTCATAGTTGAAAGCCACTTAATGTCAAGACCGCTCGGCTCCCGGCACAATTCCGCCTCAACTTGCAGTGGGCCCACAAGATTCTTGGCGAGGCTTGACACAGGCATCCGAGATTGACTGAACCTGACTATATATGGTAAATCCTATGTCAATTTTTGTATCCCACTCTATAGCCTTGGATATATATATATATACTTGATGTTACTTCTGATTAAGTGTCCGACACTCTGAACTAGCGTAGTGCCCACACATTTGTGCTCCTGCAACCGGCCACGGGCAACTGGCCACCTGCACTGGCAACCTGGCCATTGCCTGTAATCGGCCACCAGCAGCGGCACCCGGGAATCTGCCACCAGCGCCCGCGACCGCCGCCGGCCAGCCACTGGCAGATGGATAGATAAGCCATGATAAACCGATCGAAAGAGAAGATAGAACAGTAGGTTTGATATATCAAAATCTCAGCTTCACTAAGTACAAGTCAGATCCGATTAGGACTGAAAGACAGATATATAGAGCGAGAGAGAGAGATGTAGATGATACGACCGATTGATATATGATCGGGAAACCAACAAAGGCAGATACACCTGGTTGATCTCGACAGACAGATCGAAGGAATAGAAGAGATAGAAAGGTAGGTGGCTATGCAAAGACAAGTCACAACAGGGATCGCCCGCCACAGCCACCGACTACCGGGTCCACCCACATTAAGACGCCCCGCGACCGATGACCTGGAGCGATCATACAGGACAGCTACTATTGAACAAATGCTGTTCACCCGCCACAACCATTGGATCACGGCTACTCGCCTCCGGCCAAACAGCACCACCCCGCAGCGGCACCACAAACAGACAGACAGACAGACAGACCGAGTGCGGGTCCAGCAATGTATCGTCCTTCCTCAGCGTGTCCCTGTGGGACGGCTGCGGTGTAGCCAGACGCTGCAGAGAGAGAGAGAGAGAGAGACCTATAGATAGAGATAGACAGAGAGGTGCAGAAAGAGATATGCATTCAGAGGTCGCAAAGTATAGTTGCAATGATCGATTGCAATCAGTATAGAAAGAAAAGTAGAACAAAGATGGATGGATAATTCTAGATACGTAAAGATAGGTGTGGTTATATAGACGTCGGTAGACATATAAACACTTATACAGTATACATAGAGTCATAGAGTCAGATGGACACATGAGATATGTCGATAGACGCAACCTCGCGAGACAGATTTAGATAAACGGGAGTGCACATGCAACGCTATGTCGATTGATAAGCAGGTCTGTGTACATGTTTTGCGCACCATGCTGTCTAGTTAAGGGACATCAAAACGTATGTGGGCACATTGATTCGAAGGGCAAGGACAGACGGACAAACACACAGATAGAGATACAGAAGCGGTAGTAGGTACAGCTAGGCTAGAAATGTTGATGGTCAGTGACGCCGTGGATACACAAATCTAAACTGAGCAATAGCATGCAAGATAGACGCGTTTATTTGTCTCGTCGGTGGTTCCGCTCTGTCCACTATGCACTTCACTTTCTTCCTTGCGCCAAGGCACCATCATGACTCTGCAGATGGCGGTATGGGTGTGTATATACAATTCTTGATATTTCTTGATACATATATATATTATATATATATATTCACATTTGTTTTCGGCCGGCAGACGAATGGTTAACGATACAAAGATGGATAGAGAGGAACATAGATAGGAGCTAGTTAGACAGTTAGACATGCCAGCCGCACTGGCAACCGACAACGCAACCTGTGCTGACCGGCAACCGGCGCCAGCAGCGACCAGAAAGAGCACTCACCGCGCGGGACGCTTAAAGGAATGTCAGGAATGTTCGCTTTTATACGTACAATGTGTATATACATATATATATATATGTATAGAGTACTTGGACTTGCGGAACGAATTGCCCGCCATGAAGCGATTGTGATGTACCACCGGTGCTGCTGCACTGCTGCCCCCATTGGTTTCCAACACGCTGCTCTCGATTGCCACCATGGTCCTAGCAAAAGATGCCTTGAAGACACACTTTGTCCAACAATTCTGTAGCGATCCTTCTGGGCTCTTCCCGGCTTGTCGCCTATTTGCCACAGCCGAGAGGACTACATTTCGGGATGGACATGTCACACATTATTTGCCCCTTCTCCTCCCCACCAATGGCAGGCGACATGTATTTGCACACGTTCCTTCCATTTTGAGATGCACCAATTTGAGGAGCTGCACTAGTGCAGCTATTCCGTCAGAGTGTCCCTGTGGGACAGCTGTGAGACGGCTAGAGTTTGCAGAGGGAGCGAGAAAGAGAGAGAGAGAGAGAGAGAGAGAGACGGATGAGATGTGCATACAATTGCATACATATAATTGAAGAGCACAACTTAATCTTAGATGCGCAGTGCAAATCAATCAGGCTCGCAAACGCCTCAGCACTAGATTCGCTCGATTCACCCTTCGCACTGCCACGCTAACCCTCGATAGTTGATTCTCATAAACCCTCAGGACCCTCAGCGCTTGCAGAAGTCAGAAATGTTACAACACGTTGAACCGATGCTTGTACCATCTTTAAGATACAATTTTAGCTGCCCGTTGAGACTTGACTTGCCAGTGACTTCTCAGGCGCCATGTGGTACTCAACGAGGATGGCACTTTGAATACCTTTGGTGAGAGGACGGCAGGGGCCCGTGTAGCAGCTTGCAGTCAGCAAGATTGAACAGGATGCGTTTGTCGCGATGACATTGCTGTTTTTTGGCCTCATGTGAGCCCTGGTTTGCCACAGCGTTTCAGTCAAAGCCCACCTAGGTGGACTCCCTCCTGACTTGCACCGAGACAGATGCCAGGTAAGGCGTGCAGCTTGCAATGAGTCAATATTGAGCTCGAAGGCACAGGCATTTGCAAGTGAACCTTCGAACGCCGTTTCAACGAATGTTGATCGTATTTTGCCCTCCATGGGATTCCATGGGTATGTAGAACATCTCACTGTTGGACAACCGGGCTGCCGGGTTTTTGCATTTGTATACCTTTGGTCTGTCCTATTATTACCTGTGACAGTCGGTAAATAAGTATCCGGATCAAGACCGGAGAAAGGCCTGTACCAGCCATCATCATCCGCTGTTACTGCTGATGGGGCTTACCCGACGTACTGTATACCATTTTGCTCAACTAACGTGAGGCTTTGGATCGAGAGGCTCAGTCAACGCGATTTGCGGGGCCTTGTGCATGAGCTGGGGCGTTGGCACGCTCAGGGGCGAGGGCGGAGCAGGGCCACGCCATGAGGGAGTGTGGATGGAAAAGAATTAGGGCACTTTGCCTCGCAAGTGAATATTTTTGTTGTTCGAAGCGTAGCGAAGGTTGCTGTTTAATTCTAGGGGTGTAGGGTTGAGTTGTGTTCTCGGGACGTTGCTTGCCGTCAGCAACCGTTGTCCCATCATCATTCAGTATCCCTACCTGCGCGAAAGAGTCGTGTTATGGGAAGCTTGTGGAGGAGGTCTTGGATGGAAGGATGACGTGTCAGATTCGTGTGAAATAGCATTGGCGTTTTGTGACGTTTGCGACGTCTGATTTTCGAGCCCACGCACACCTGCCGTCAGATTTGCGATGGGGATGTGCTCCTGAAGGATTTTGATGATTTTGTTTGAAGCTGTCTTTTCACAACGGGTCTCACTTACAGTTAAAGCTGCAAATTGCGGTGTTGAGGGGTTGGGGGGCTGCGTGATCCAAGCGAGCATTTGGTACTGTAGACTGCCTCCAAAAGCCAGGCAATGCACATCAGGACTGCACCCAACTTTCCTCCTGAGGTTTAAGTGGGGCGTCTATTCAGCAAAACGCTCACGGGATCGATGTGAATTCTGGAGAAAATGTCATAAAGTCTTAATATGTCTTAATTAGGCTTTTGCTGGGTCTTGTTGGGAAAAACACCCACTTCGATCCACTTCGCACAAATTTCATATGGGTGCCATGCACCACTAAACTCAAACTGCCAAGCAAGATCAGATTAGCTCCACAAGAATGTCTTGGAAGAGTGTCGCACAAAAGCATGTCGAGAAAGATTGTTTTCCCCAAAAGTCTCTAGAGAAAGTGTTGGGGAAGAGCGGCGCAGAGCGTCACTCAAGAGTGCCCCACAAGACAAACAAAAATACCGCACACGAACGTCATGGAAGAATGTCAAGCAAGAGTGTCCTAGAAAAGTGCGAAGCATACCACAAGGCTTTCCTACAAGATTGTTTGCGCTATTCAACGTTGTTTTTCATTCAGGTTCGTTGGTTTCATTCTGTTTCCTTGACGGGTAGAAAGCCAGAGAGGTCACGGGGGAG